GTCAAGCGGTGAGTGTGCCACGGCGCTTGAACCCGTGATCTGCTAGTTGTGGAAGCGGGTATGCGACAACAACTGGTGGAGAACGAGTGATACGAACGATACGATACAATCTTGTTGCTTGCTCTCTTCAACACTTGGTGGAGAACGGGTTTGGCACCGACCTCAACTGTCCTCGCTCGACAACATATCCGCTTCCACAACTAGCAAATCACGGGTTCAACGCCGTGGCACACTCATACCGCTTGACACGCCCCCCTCATGACAACAGGTAATATGCCGCGCTGGATAATGCCGCACACGCGAAGGACGAGTTGTCCTGCCCAGCCGTCTGATTACAATACACTCTAGGTCGCTGCGGACGGTTGGCAGGCAGTATGAGTGTGCACCCGTCAAAGCCGTTCTCTGCCTTCTTGTTGAAGCGCGCATGCGACAAAAAGTGGTAGAAAACGAGTAATACGAACGATATGATAGTCATCACTTGCTCGCTTCAACAACTGGTGGAGAACGGGTTTGGCACCGCGCCAAACTCATCCCGCCTGACACGCCCAACCGTCCGCAGCGAACTACACTATATTAAAAAGATGAGAAAGTCAACTCACCAGGAATGGAGTTTTGTGCCTCCGCTCCAATTCCTAAGAGTTTCGCTGCTTCAATCGCAATCGAGCAACTGGCGCACCTCGAGAAGTTGCCGCACACCGCCACACGATGCGTCGCGCGCGACGACGCGGCGATTCACGATCGTCTTACCCGTCACCTCTCAATACATTCACTAGAATTTGTGCTATTTCTATTCCTTTATTAGACTCTTTCCTAGAATCTGAGTGAAAAGTAATTCATATATCTACTTGCAGAATGTCTGAGTTCTCTCGACTATGTCAAACTGCGGGGATAATCGAACCTATGCTTCTCTTTGTTGGTGGTGGCAATATGGCCTCTGCATTGATACATGGTTGTATAGAATCAGGTAGTTTTTGCTTTTCCTTATCTTCCTGACCGCCTTTTGAACGATTTCTTCGTGAGCGTCAAATGTTGATTCAAAGATCTACTGTAAGGTATGGTAAAAACGCAGTAAAAACTAACTGAACTATTTTGAAGTGCTTTTTCGAAAAACTGTAGAGTCAAGAAGAAATTGAGTGTTTTCAAAGAAATGATGAACAGGCGAGGGCATTGTCCATTAACGTTGGCTTAGTCACCCGTGCCAAACTAGAAAGTTGCTTCTTTGCGGAACGAAACTCGTGGGGCAGAATCGCTTGGAATACCAACAGGATCTCTAAAAAGGCTTACTGTGGGAAATTACAGTTTTTGCGTCAGTTTTGCAGTTTGTTTCGTGATTCAGGTTAAAGTCAGGAGTATAATTGGCTCAGTAGATAGCAAAATATAATTCGAGTGGTATGCCCAACCCCGCTCTCTCATGTCAGTACGTCCATTCTAAACTTTTTGCATGGATGCAGCAGTATCCAGATGACGAGTTTTCTTCCAGAACGGTTCACCCACAACTCTAGAAGTTGATTGTGTCAGCCCTAGTGCCAAACTTGCATAAACCCCAGCGTAATGTGGCTACTATGCATTCCTGAATCATCAAATGGTAGTACTGCTCGAACGACTACTTCAGTTGTACTTCGTAAAATT